AGAATGCACTTAAAATTCATTTGTTCCAGGTAGTGGAGGTGGGGGTGTCTATGATTAGACCTCTGCCAAGAGTGAAATTCCTCTGCTTAAGGCTAGGTCAGCAATTCCCAAACTAGTTTCTAGGGCACATTGTGTACTGTAAGAAATCACTTGATTAAATAAAGTTAAATGCTTTTGTAAGCCCAAAACACACCCACCCACAGAGAAGACTGCCTGCTGGTTTCTGCAATGGCTGACAGGAGAGAGGTAAGGTCAGAGCAGTCAACTTCTGCCACAATCTCTGCATCTCATGTGACTGGATCATTCAATCACTCCTCGTAAAGCAAAACAGTGCCCACTGCATCTCTGCAATAAGCCACTGCTCTGGACTTAGTTTCTTCCAATCAGGAGATACATCAGAATAATAATAAATGCAGAAATGCAAGAGAGACTGTTCTGAGGATAGGCTGTTCTCATATTTTCACACTGTAAAGGTAATTTTTTTGGTGCAAGAGTGACACATGCTGCTACTTTTAATTTAGGGGCAGAAAGTCCCTCCGCTATCAGAAGTTTTGGAAATATTAGCCAAAAATCTCAACTAGACATTAATGAATTAATTCAAGCAGGCCACAGACCAGTAATACTCTTATTTCTTACAAGGTAACTTTACCTGGGTGAGGTACAATATGAAGAAGGGAAGTTATTCTAGTTATTGAATGGAATAAGCAGTATTTTGTACGCTTTGGAGGCATAGTCTAACAATACGGCATTTTCCCACCTCTACTAAAAGCAGACAGCTGTTTTGCTACCATCCCATTATCCCAGCAAAATTTAACATCCGAAGACAGGAGGCAACACAAGATGACCGACATATAGATGGAGGCATACAGGTATGAGTGGGGCTTTTATTGTGTCCTTTTGCACGATGCCTAATTTGAGAAAGCACTGAAAATCCTTGTTACCTATCAAATAGTATATTGTAAGACACCTGCAAGCATCTGAGTCAGCCAAAGACAGCCCAGGTGACAGCTAAACCAATAACCGATGCAGATACGTGGTATAGGATATGCACTATTGCACTATTATATAATTTTGTAATCCACCTTGAATCTCAAGGAGACAGGTGGATGATATAAATGAAATAAAACAAAACAAAGTTATGGGTCCCAACCAACATCTCAGACCCTTAGAGTGTTCACATTGATAGATACATTGACTTTCATTAGCTAAATTATAACACCGGTCATTCTCTTCTCCATCCTTTGTGTATGTGTGTGCTGGTATTCCTTGATCTGGCACCAATGTACAAGGAGTCCACAAACAGGAAAGGTGATGAAATACTGAAAACGCCTGGATGAATGAACTATGACGCTTGTGAGGCAGTGAGAATGCACTTTCAGACATGCATATCAGATGGGCTGGTGTGGTGACAATACTTCACATCCTACAATATATTCCTACATGGGTCTCAAAATACTGGAAATGCCTGGAGTATGTGCACATTTGGTAACTGGAAAAAAGACTGAGAGCAGGTGTGTTAATGTAACTTTGTATCAAAGTTACATGTAAGCCAATAGCAGAGGAGGAAAATAAAAGCTCAGTTTTCTAGCCTGCACACTTTCTTTCTTTCCTTCTTTCTTTCTTGTCTGCCTTTCTCACTGGGACTCAAGGCAGATTACACAGAGTAAATCAATACAATCAGCAAGATGGAACATTCCAACGAACAGTGCAATAGGATTTGGATTGGAGAAATCTGGAACCAACCAGAAATCTGAAACAGAATTGTGAGTTTATTTTAGGCACAGTACCAATGTTATAAAATTAATTGAACATAATAAACTATCAAAATCTGGCCTAACAGGCTATTAGAAGATACGTGATATTTTGTGGGAAAAACAATCTTTTACCAAGCTGACATGTAGCTTTATGTGGTGTTGAGAAGTCATATTAATTATTTAATGCTTTTATGATGTTTTATGAATATATATATTTCATTATTTGTTAGTGGCCTTCAATGTTTAGAGATGGAGAACAATTATTTCTTTTTTAAAAGTCATTTAAAACACACTGGTGAGTTTACTTTTCTCATTTTGTATATTACCAATTTGGGAAAGGGAGAAGGAGCACTAAGTAGCTGAGATTTAGTTGATGTCTATCATTAATTAATCCAGGCCAAAACAATCCACAACCAAACAAATAATTTGTTACTATACCTCCTGCAAATTTAGTAAACTGTGCATGCATCCGTGCAGGGCTCTCAGTCTCTCATCTTGCCAACACACCTTTCCCATCACAGAAACAGGCCCTCCATTTTAACTTTGCAACAGCTTAGAACACCACAGAACAGTGGGAGTTTGTTCTTGTGTGATCAAGCCATGCACTGATTTTTTTCCTCAACAGTAATGGTTATATCATTTGAATTAAACTGTTTGTTTTTTTACCCAGAGCACCCTTAATGTACACCTGACCTGAGCAGTACTTGCAACCTTTGACTCTGGATACTATTGTATGATAAAGCAAGCAGCTATTCAATTGACACACACTGTAGTCAGCAACATTTTCCCCACTTAATGAGATCTCTTGGTTATGATAATATGTGAATACTGAACAGACATGTATAAGCCAGTATGGTGTAGTGGCTAAAGTGTCAGACTAGGATCTGGGAAATCCATGTTCAGATCCCCACTCTGGCATGGAGGCTTGCTGGGTGACCTTGAGCCAGTCACACATGCGCAGCCTAACCTACCTCACAGGGTTGTTGTGAGGATAAAATAGAGAATTATATATGCTGCTTTGAGTCCCCACTGGAAAGAAAGGTTGGATAGAAATGAAATAAATAACTATTTTATGCTTCTATAGTCCAAATAAGCTCTGATCTAAGAGCTGGCTAATACTTTATCTAAAACCTGCACATGTCCAATTTAGCTCCATTAGCTAGAATTCAATGAGGTATGGGATAAATGAATACATAAATTTCTTTCAGTAGTGTCAACAGTCCAGCGTTTGCCACTGTACAACTCAGAATAGCAAACAGGAAGACACTGCTGACCAGCACTGACAAATGGAAGGTTATACATAAACTAGCAGAAGCAAAAAGGCAGCATAAGAAATCAGCACAGAAGTCTATGCAAATTGATTGGTACATTTTCTTTCCCCAGAATACAAATGCTGGGAAATTATGTTTGCCTCTACTTTTATTATTCCTTCCTCTCCTTTCACACAAGGAAATGTGTGAGCAACAGACTTTGCAGGCACCAAAGAATACAAGACAAACAGAGCTGAAACAGAAGACAGAAAAATGAATGTCAGACTGAAACGTCTCACCATTAAAAGGATGGCTTATGGAACGAGATAGATGCAGACAAGACGAGACAGGCCAGAAGCTGGACGTAAAGAAATGTGATGGAATTGTGAAGCGATTCACAAGGACAGGAGACAGGAGGGGGAAGAAGTTTAGAGATGGATATCCGTGCACACCTGAGTCCTCTGCCCGGGCCACCACTGTTGTGGGAGACCTCAGTCTGCTTTGTTCAAGAGCGGAAAACTCACGCTGGGTATCTGCCATGCAGCCAGATCTGGCAATGCTGCCTGCGCATCCCAGTACACTGCCCTCTGGAAACTCTGGAGATAATCCATCTGAAAACTCTTTTGTTTGGGAGTTAGTAACTCCTGGCTCAAACTGGACTTCAGTCCTCAATAACGTCTGGCTCTCTTTCAAGATCTCTCCACAGGAGTTTGCTGGGCAATCTCTGCCAGGGCTCAAGAACACAGCTACTTGGCCTCCCATCTTAGAAGTCCGGCCTTCAGGAAAGGAATGCTTCTTTTTACCAGTACCAGCAGGTGATTGGGGAGATTCTAGTGTTTTTGATTTGGCAGTTGGTGAGAAAGAAGCCAATGTCGGTCTGTCAGGTAGTGGTTTGGGGATGTCAAGAATCAAGTGGGCCCGGTTAGATGTTAACTTGCTGTGAAAGGACTTGGGTGACAAAGAGCTTGTGGCTTGCTGAAGAGCAGGTTTCACTGGGCCATTTTCTTTTACAAGAGGTTTGTTCTTCTCTGCGTCTCCTGAAGCATTTAGCAGCATCTTCTCTGGTACCTGGAGGCTGATCTCTCCTTCAGTCATAGTTTCTGCAGAATCATCAAGGCATAGATTTTCTCCCACAGATATGCTACGGGACATCTTGGCCATAAAGCTAGTGGTAGGGTTCATGTAGGATTTGGGTTTTGTAGCTTTACAGTCTTTGGTTTGTAGAGAGTTGGAGCCATCCATCTTCAACAAAGTTGCAGGCAACATCCGGCAGTAATTAGACCTGGGATCCTTCTCACCTACCATTAGTGTCTGAGGACGTTGCCCAGCAGAAGGCATCACCACCCCTGGAACCTTATCTGTAGAAATGGAAGAAATAAATGCACAGAACTGGTCTGGAGCAATTTGTGCAGCCAGAATCAGAATATCTCCACCTTTTAAAAATATTTTACCTCAGGTTTTCCTTTTATTTTTTAAGGACATCAGGTGAATCATCACCATCATAACCTCCTGGGATGAATGTTAAACAAACTCCCCCATCCTGTTGTTATACACTCCCCACCACCAAGCACTGATCCCTGAATTTCTAATTGAAGAGCTAGGCTAAAAGTAGTGTTGCATTTTCAGTTCTGTATAATAAGAGCACAACAAGTGCAGGTGCATAAACAAAGGACATACTGCCTGATATTTTCTGCAATATGCCATCTTTATATTGAAGTAACAGCTACAGGGCTGTTATTGCTTGCTTATCCCTTGAAATGATACTAAAAACAGATGTGGTCCTCTCCTTTGCAAAGCACCTCTTTGCAAAGCACCAGACAAAGAGAAAGCAGCCCACAACTGCACATGAATGATCACCCTTGGCTTATAACTGAAAGAAATTCACTGGATAGAAGCACAGCTGGCAGAACTTCTACAGAAGAACTTCTAGGTAGATTGGGCCCAGTATTGCTGTTAAAGCAATGGCTAATTTTCACAGAAAGCAAATGAAGTCACCTTCCTACAATCACCAAAGAGAAGCAGAGATCCTATTTCCCAGCTCAAGTCACCCTGTGATATGCAAATAGGGAAGTGTGGGCAGACAAAGTTTAGTTTTCATGCTGGCAGATTTCTCTTCTTCAAGGCTGTGCAATTTTCTATTTGGAGTCTACTACACATCACAATACTAATCATTTTCTTACCATTATGGGCAAGGTCATGAACTGACTGGGATTTTCTCATCATCCCATCACTATCTGGGAATGGCCCAACAGGTCTTCCAGGACCTCTGTTGATCTCTAAAGTAGGTTTTCTCTTTCTGTGCACATAAAGAGACTTAAAGGAATTCACATCACTTTGAAAACTGCCATTCTCTGTGACCGAGTTCAGCTGATCAATCTCATATTTCAACAAATCAGCAGGAACTTGATTTGACAAGGCTGGAACCTCAAGAAGTTTTCGCTCCAGTGCCAGATTAGATGAAGAAAGTGACAGCTGTCTATAGAAACAAAGACAGAACAAGATACTCAAGATATTGTAATTAGGTTTTGTTGTTGTTAAAAAAGCAAAAGAATACTACGTAACTAATTCTCACAATGGAGCAAGACGCATCTAATCAGATCAAGGCCAATATACGGTAACTTCCAGAAACAGCATATAGAAGTACATTTTCCCCTTGGACAAACGTAGTAGTGAATAGGGGAACGAGGACTAATTATACACAAGACGGCTATGTTTAACAGAAGGATTTAGCATACATGGAAACAAGGGGGAAGGCAAAGGGCAGGTTCCAGCAAAGGAGGACACATTTATATTAGAATGAGTTCCTCTCTGCTCCTTATGGTACCAGTTCCAGACTCTTTTACACTTTTCCTACTGCAAGATCTTCAGGCCAGACTGTACAATCTTTGAAAGCAGGGACAGAGATTAAAACATGAGTCATTCCTTCTACCTGAAGCAAGATTTATAATGGTAGTGTAAAGGCTATAACAGAGAAAGGTGCACCAAAGCTTACAGAAGCCTGTCTACCCACTCTTCTCTTTGCTACTTTGATGAAAAGCAGAACAAATGTTCAGTAAACTCTGGCATTCATAGAAACCCTTTTCCAATGCACATGATGATAAGCCTTCTCCCAACTGCCCCCTAGCTGGCTGCCAGCCAAATTAATCAATCAAACCAGTTTTTTTAAAAAACATTCTCATGCAGAGTTTGGCACACAGTCAATAGAATAGAGAACTTGTTACTGTAAGGAAAACTAAACTTAATAGGATGGTTTTCACTGTCCAGGTTGAATGAAATGCAAAAATAAAGTGCATAAATGGTAAAGAGCAAATCAGATAAATAAAATAAATTTCCCAGCCTTTTCAAAATGGTTTTATACATCTGTGAAGTCGGCGGGAATACTGAATGTCGCCCTCTTCAAACCCAGGCAATCAGAATATAGAAGAACTCCTGACAGTCTCTTTGTTCCAACGTACCAAGGTAAATATGGAAGACTGAGGGCAAAAATAAAGGTTACAGCTGCAACTCCTGTTCCCTGCAGCCACACAGCAACTGCGGGGAATGGCTTCTAAATAAAAGGAGAGCCCAGGGGTCATTTCCTGCAGGAGCGCACAGGAGCGGAGCTCTGGCAGTAAAGAGCCCAGGGGGCGGGCACATGCAACAAGCCCCACCCCCTGCTCCCAGCAGTCCTCAGTCAGAACAAGAAGCAGCCAGGTAAGTTGCAGAGCTCCCCCCGGCCCCCTGGCCCAAAGCAGTTCAGTGGCACCTTTAAGGCCAAGTTTTATTCAGGTACAAGCTCTCCCTCCTCTGCGAGAACAGATCTGAAGGTCCCCCCCCCAGTAGCTAGCAATCCAAAACAGTCCAGTGGAACCTGAGCGGTGGTTGTTACCTTCTGACACACTTCCGGTGATGTCAGGGGGTGTGGCATATGCAAATAAGTTATGCTAATGAGCTCCTGCACCTCTTTTTCTGCGAAATGACCCCTGGAAGGGATGGCTCCTGCCTCCCCCCCCCCAAGCTGTTTTCTGTACAAAAACGGCACAGGAGGAGTTATTTGGATTACTTTGCTGCTCTAAATAGAGCATCTGCACACATGGAGCAGCAAAGTCAGGGAAATAGCTCTTCCCCCAGCACAGCTTTCACTAGGGTTGCCAGGTCTGGGTTGGAAAATACCTGGAGACTTTGGGGGTGGATCCAGGAGAGGGCAGGGTTTGGGGAGGGGCCTCAGCATGGTACAGTGCCATAGACTCCACCCTCCAGAGCAGCCATTTTCTCCAGGGGAGCTGATCTCTGTCAGCTGGGGATCAGCTGTAAAAGCAGAAGATCTCCAGGCCCCTCCTGGAGGCTGGCAACCCTAGCTTTCACATAGGTCAACAGCTGGGGAGCAGGGAGAGAGGGAAGCCCTTTTGAGCCATTCCCTGCAGCTCCTGTGTGGCTGTGGGGAACACAAATCTTTAAAGTTTGTAACATTTATTTTGGCCCAAAGACAAGAGGCTTCCATACCTAAACCAGAGAAAGTCCCACAAGGCCTTGCAGCCCTGCAACAAAAAGTGGAATGGTACCTGAGAGCTGGAGACTGGGACAAAAAGCGAGAAGAAATACTGTTTTCTGTTCGTTCCAGGGTCCTACATGATCCACCTATGAATTCAAGGAGAAAACATGCAAGCATTAGGCAAGAGAACACAGTTTTCTGGGATGGGACATTTTAGTGAATGACACTCAATTTAGCATTGTATAACTTCTTCACAGGCTGTCATGCTTGCTAAGAGACTGCAAAAGCTTATTACAACCTTAGTACATGTAAAATTATATGAGGTAGGAAAGGCTCTGATAATCTTAGGCTGGTCATTGATTTGATTGCTTTAAATAGTAAGAGACCTGATTGAGTTACCATCTTTTCACTCAATGCTGAAAAGACCTTTGACAAAATATACAGGAAACTTGTTTTTGCTGCATTGACTTAATTTGGTTTTCCTCACACATTTTTAAATGGATTAGAATTCTTTATTCATCTCCCAGTTCTAGGGGGTCTTCACTAATGGCATCTTTTCTGCACCATTCCTCTTGAGGTGGGTACCAGACAAGGCTGCCCTCTTTCTCCTCTTAGTTTTGATTTTTGCTTGAAAGCACTAGCTTATGCTATAAGAAAAAATAATAGCATTCATGATTTGTACATAACTCTCTGGAATTTAAACTTATTCTTTATGCAAATGGTCTTTTATTGTTTATTTTGGAACCTCAGTCTTCCATTCCTGTACTAATGAAAACTGATTAGTACGTCTGATGATTTGTCTGGTTATTTGATAAACTGGACAAAATCTGAGTTGATGCCATTGGGAGACAATATATCATGGAGTATATTTGCTGATGGAGATTTTCAGTAGTGTCCAGATGTCATTACTAATCTTGACATACTGATTCCTAAGAGACACTTAGCACATAATTATGCAAAATTTTAACAGTTGATTGGTGATATAACCTTTGATTTGGACAAATTGGCAATCTTAAAACTTTCCTTATGAGATAAAGCAAACATACTCAAAATGAACACTATACCTTGGATTATATATGTTCTATGTGCAGTTCCTTTTCATATACCTTTTAAATCAAGATGGGTAGCCGTGTTTGTCTGTAGCAGTAAAAAAGAGTAAGAGTCCAGTAGCACCTTAAAGACTAACAAAATTTGTGGTATGAGCTTTTGTGAGTCACTGCTCACTAAAGAAGTATCCGAAGAACTGAGTAGTGACTCACAAAAGCTCATACTCTACCACAAATTTTATATACCTTTTAGATATATTTCTGAAATTAATACTTGTGCCTCTCTCTAAGTAGGATGGATTAGGGTCTACTCATACTAACATAGATTCTGTTCCTCCTCAGTTTTTGTAATTCAATAATTATAACTTAAAATGTCACAACAATATCAGTTTGATACATTTTCACATGGGGGGTTTACTTTGAACCAATTAACAGACTATGATGATGAGTTTTTGTTATTTTCTCAGCTGAGGTCTAGATATGACCTATCAAACTGTTGAATGGCCATATTTACAACTGCACCATCTGTTGGTATCTAAATATGGCCCTGAAGTGCTAAAAATTTAAGAATCTCCCTTACTGTTGGAAACTCATTGAAACAATGCAGAAAATGAAACTGACAATAGTTGTTTATAAATATCTTGTGTTAATTAATACATATGATATGCAAAGTCTTGAGAATGAATGGAATAACAAACTAGATTGTCCTGTTCAGCCAAAGCAACAGGATATGGCCCTAAATTGTTATACCTGTTGTTTCTATAGACTTTAAGCTGTGACTTATTCAGCAAACAAATTACATTTAGGATAGACTGGACACCACAGCACCTTTTTAGTAAAGGACTAAATGAAGTACGGTATCTAATAGTTGGCACTGTAACCTACAAGATGTGTCTCCTAAACATATGCTCAAGGATCCATCCAGTTATTCAGCCTTTTTGTGAGGAAGTAATTACTCATATCAGTTTTGTACAAGAATATTCATTAATCTTTGAGGATGCGTTATGCGCTTCTAAACTATTTGCCTGTCTCCAGGAGGCTAATTGATGGTCAATGAAAATGGACCCACTTTGTCCATATTGTTGCTAAAAGACTTACTATTACAGCACCGGAGAGATAAATGCTCAACTAATAGATTGAGGACCTTACAACCTTATCAACATTTGAATGTATGACATATAGATGACAACTGCAGATGGACATATTTTAGACTAGTAAGGAAAGCCCTTATCTATAGACTTGCCACCATCATTGTTGTGTTTTTATTTCTTTTTAGGGGGTAATGGATTTTTTTAAAATTACAAAAGCATTTCTTCAGATGTTACAGTGAGGAAGGCAATACCCTGAAGTCCTACACTTTGCTTCCTGCGCAGCCTGATCCTAAGCATGTTTACAATGTTCAGCAGTGCTTAATTCCAAATAAGTGGGCCAGGGTTGTGGCCTTTAGGTTAGAGCATAAGTATTACGTTTTTACCTTGTATAGGCTTGATCTGTTGCTATTTTTAGACTAACCGGAGTTTTTATGTACTACTGTGAAATTTGTAATCTCTCTTTTGTACCCCTTTTGGGTTTTAATTTGCTATTGATCTTGCTGTATTTGACTTGGAACTGGCGGTAAATTCTACTGATGGATGGGGCTTGTGCCAGCGGAACAGGTTTTTCTTGCTTCCCCCCCCCATGGCCAAAAATGTTCCCCAAAATGCTACTCCCGGGGGACACACACAGTATGCCCCCCCACATATACTGTGGCCCAAAATATTCCCTAAGATGCTACTCATAGGGGATGCAGTTGGGGTCTATAACAGAAGCTGGGATTCTGCAAAAATTCCCCACCCACCCCATTCAGTTAGTGGAAATCTACTACTGCAGCCAACCATTTTATATTTGTAGGAATTCATATGTAAAGGATTTCAAATTTTATTCTAGGCATTCTATTGAATCCATTAGCAGAAGTTGCCTGTCACAGATCTTTCCTTTTTCCCCCAGCCCTTTATTTCCCCTAACCTCAGCAGTCGCTTCCAACTCTGGGAAAGTTGATTGCCCTTCCTGCCTCTTCCATCAGCAGAAGAGAGAGAAAGGAGCAGCCCACTTGCCCATATGGCTATGAGTCCATGTGGCTCCTGTGATCCTGGGAATGAGCTCTACTGAGGTTAGAAGGGACTGCTGGGTGGAGGGAAGAGCAGAGGAGATCTCTGATCCTTGTGCAAACAGGTCACTGGACACAGCCTGTTATTCTTCTACTGTTTTTGATGCTGTTGTGTGATACATCTTGTGTTTTTCTATGCCAACTCCCTCAATAAAATCAATAAATGTTAGCCCTTATGAGCACTTAACAAATAATGAAAAATTAAGCCATGAAGAACATTGCAAGGATTAAACGAAGGCTTAGAATCCTAGTGTGTGTGTGCTGGGCGTGCATGTGTGTGTAAAAACTAACTCCAGTTGATCTTCGCATCTATATCTGTATATCACAGGTAACCTGAATTAGTTTCTAATAGGGATTTCCTACACAAGAGGGGAGGAGGGGAGGCACACAAACAAATCTAGTTTATACATATGTCAGCTTAAGACAGGAAAAGGCAGTCCAAGAAAAAACAAGGCCCAGTTCAGCTACTGCCCTCTACTCTTAGAGCTTTGAATTTGAAAAATATCCCTCATGTTTAAGAGTAACTGGCTTTCATTCTTCTAGCGACAGCATGGATCATTAAACTTAAAAGAAGTCTTAAGCCAAACCACATAAAATAAGAAGCCCCACTGTGTACAGATAGATTTATTTCATTTGTGGCAACTGGCTGAAGAACCACTACCCATTGTTCCCATTTGCTGCTTCTGAATGCTTATAACCCTCTGCCACATTCCTGTTCTTCAAAGAGATTTCTGTGCCCACGTCTTCCACTAGGGGGCGGTCATACTGCCATTTAATTCTCTGCACAACCATGTAGGTCAACGGCAAGGCCATAATGTTTCTCCATGTCAGTAAATTGGGGGGGGGGGGGGAGCCATTTCAGCAAGCCAAACAGAATGCATTTTAGACAGCCTCCATTCCCTGTTACCTACTAGACTGCAGAGCTATCTGCCTCACTTCTCAGTAAACCCACTATAGGTATCTGGTTCCACAGTTGCCAAGTGGGAGCCACAAAAGGTAGTGACATGAATGGTCTATGCAGATTTACAGAGACATGTTATGAAACGTTGTTATAGACAATGTCTTCCACTGCTTTCCAAATGTACCCTTTTCACCATTACAGGCCAGAGTCTCAAAATGTTGCTTGAGAAACTTCTCCTGATCTGGAGTCCTGGGGACTTCTCCCCCCAGTTGTCCAGTGCCCACATCTTCCTCATCATCTTCTCCCTCTCCTTCCACCTGTTCATCCAAGTCTGAGGTACCATCAACGCTGAGAGGTTCTGTGCTCTCAGAATCTGAAGGAGAAAATGCTACATGTTAAATATATAACAACTTATACTGATAAAAGTAATACTTCTTTTTGGGTTTTACTTGATATTCATGCAATGATCCTCAGGCTAGAAACAAGCCATAAAAACAGCTTTAATAGATTCCCTCATGTCTGGGTAAAAAGAAATGTTTTGGGTGCCATTAATATGTCAATGACACTCAGGTCTCTCTTTTAATAAGCCTATGAGGGGAGCCATCTCTGCCCTAGGCCAATACCCAGATTCTGTGATTAAGTGTCTCGGGGAGAACAAGCTGAAGATAAATCCAGATAAAGCAGAGGTGATGCTGGCTGGCAATGCTGATGTGGAGACTGTGCTACCCACTTTTGATGGGTGAGACTCTCTCTAAAAAACTCCACCAACATCTTAGAAGTACATAAAAAAATAATGTAGTGGTTAAAATGCCCCCTCCCCCCACTTTTCTCTAGCACAGAAATTCTCTCTTCTTCAACCCAGATGACCTGATCCAAGCTAAAGTAGTCTTGAGGCTAGAGTACTGCACCACACTGTGAATGGAGTTGCCCTTGAAAATAACTTTGGGACTTCCACTGGTCCCAAACACTGCAGCCCAACTACCGGGGTGGATCCAACCATCCTCCAATTTAAGTGGCTCTTCCTACAACATTGTTTCCATTGTGAAATTGTTAACACTACTTGCCCATTTGTTTCCAGGTTCAATACAAGTGCCAGCTTTCACCTTTAAAGCCTTTCCCTGTATGAGCCGGTGTTGAAACTCTGGTCTTCCATCTCTTACTATAGAGATGTGAGAACTGCCACTGCTTGGTCTCATGCTTTTGTAATACAGGCCTCCACTGATATAGAAAGGTCTGTCTCAGAGAAAGGTCCATCTACCTCCATGTGTTTCAGGAGAGTGTGTAAATCTGAGTTGAACAATACGGCATTTGAGGATGGTTAGTGGCAATGAAAGAGTACTTTTTCTGGCTCTCTTTTTATTGTTTCAAGGCATGGTTGTTTGGTTTACTGGTTTTGTGTTGTAAATTGCTCTGCCCCCACCAGGGAAAAAAAAACAGTACAGAAATGTTTTAGATGAAAATTGTTTAACTCGTTCACCTTCATTTGGACTTGATAGTCGGCTGCTGCTGTAGTCCACAGAGCAGGCACTGTCAGGGCTGTGTTTATCTGGACATCCATTGATGTGGTAGCCTCTACCTAGCTTCCCATGGGGGAGTGCCTTTACCTGGAACTCACTGCGAGAGAGAGGCAGGAACACCGAATTTGAAGAGGCACTTGCCTTGTACATTTAAAATAAAAAATTCAACTCTTACAGACCTTACATGTGATAATCACATTATGACCACAACAAGAGGATGACTTTTTTTTCAAGCCTAATTTTTTCACCATTTATGCAAAGATTTTTTTGCATTTCATAGAGCCTGGACAGTGACATTTGGACTATTTCTTCCACTTTGAATAATATAAAGATACCCTGTACTCAGCTGGACCATTTCTGTCTTGTCAATATTCATAGGTGAATGAAGCTATATCTAAAATTTTCCAACACTGCATTCAAGTGGGCTGAAAGATATACAACTTTTATCTAGCTGTCTCACAAATCAATGGTATCCCAAATCAGACCTCAAGACCAAGTCTGAGGTTAAAACTACTGTGCAGATACAAGCCGTTTGGCAGCACTTTACTGTATCCTTTACAGAAAACTCAGCAAATTGTTGGAGACATCACTTTGCACAAAATGGAAAAGTCTCAGCATATCACCATGACAACAGCCTTGGGCCACTCTCCTTTCCTTCCCTGCATCAGCAACAGGGTGTGTTTTTCCAAGTGCAGCCAATGGTTTCCTGCCACCTTATGGCTGTAAACAAAGACATTTGGTTTTGTCCGATACTTGGGAGAAGTTTTAATCCTAGTCATTATAGCTGAATCAAGCACTACGGCTACTAATGGTGGATATATTTGCCTTAACTCCTGCTCCAACTGCTTAAAAATTCTGTGTGCTTCTGAACACCATCCAACAGTGCTCCCTACCCCCATTTTCTAACTTTTCCAAGATATCAAAATTTGCTCCATCCACAAACTAAATACATAACACAACAGTTTCTGCAGCGTGGGATTAATAGTTCTCTGACTACAAAACTTTATAATGTAAATAAACTTATGCAGATGTATCTTGAGGTCACTGACATAACGTTTTTTACACATACACATGCTGTGGAAGGCAAGGAAATAAAACAGCCACAAGTGAAGTTCAGCGCAGAGGAGGAAAAACAGGGAAAGGAGCATTAAACTAAGATTGAGATGGACAGACAACGACAGGGGAGAAAGGGAACAAGTTTCCCTTATTTCTTCAATCCTTTTTTGCCACATATGACGCCTTCATCCACTTCCTACCCTCAGAGGCATGATTTTCCATCCATTTTTCTTTCCCTTTGTGACTGAGCAGCCCTAATTATCTGTTTTCTTCTTTCCTGAAGAACTCTGGCTGTCCCATCCTGTCACAGTATGATACTTTGGCTGTTGGCTGAGCCCAGGAATCTGAGGGAAGGGTCAAGAGCCCCCTTTAACTTAAGCAACTGACATGGCACTTGAGGCGTTTTGAAATTCCAAATTAACAAAGTATTTTATTCATCATGTTTTAAACAAACTTCTGAGATAACTCAATATAGAACTCTGATGTAAATTAGTATATGCACAGACTTTAGTTCATACGTTTCAGGCTATTGAGAGTTTCATAAGCTATTCACAGTGACTTGGGATCCTTATGAGAAGCTTTTGTTCCAGTGTTTCCCAAACACTCCAGTACACTTCATTTGCTCTTTTGCTTTCCAGAAGGCTGAGACACTCTATCCAGTACTCAAACCCCTTCTCTAAACACACCAGTACTCTTCTTAAGTTTTATCTGACTCCTAAGGTTTCACAAGGCAGTTTCTAATGACAGCAAACCAGGGATCTCTCCACTCTTCAGAGCTATCTCCCTGTTTTGACTGGGTAGGGAAATCCTTCTCTCACTAGAAGATCTATCCCCTTTTATTGGCCCAAATGGGAGTCTTCCCCTAACTACCCACTCCTCTTGCCAGCTTTCCCAGTACTCTATCTGTGTTAAACTGCTCTCAGTCAGGGTTGAATTCAGAATGAATTCTCCTAAGCATCCAATTCAGAAGTCTTTCTCTGTTCAATTTATGCTAACCAATCAGATTCCTTGGAGCAGCCTGTCACTCAAGGCTCTCTGGCTCTGTGAAGAATTAACCCTTCAAAATCTGTTACCTGTTTACACAGCACTTATAAGATTTTAAAGTGCAGTCCATCACACAGTCCATCACCACATCACCTCAAAATATTTACTGCTTCTAGATCATTCTCTTACTAAACTTTCTTACTAAAAATGGCCAGGCCAGCACCTGTAAAATCCTTATAACAATAAACGTTGGCATGAACCTGCATCAGATTATTTCAACTAATGCCTTCGGCTCAAAGATAAAAGACAGAATACCACAAATGTAAGTCACAGAAAGGAATTAATATTTGACCTGCTAATATCTGCACGGTGAATCTCTTCTTGTTCTGGATAGATCACACATTCCTCGCTCTCAGAGGGCTCCAGTTCCTGGGGGAAAATCCCATCTTCACAGGATAAAAGCCGAATAACTTGAGGTCGGACACAGGGCTGATTTTCCTGAGGAGACACGTAGTCTCCAATCTGGGAAAGAAATGCAGAAATGTGATTAGCTATTATTGCTTGAGCAGAGAATTTTACAAGGCTTTGTATTCATTGTTGGAAAAAAATGATAACTAGTAAGCAAGCAAGCAATATTATTTGGTAGTATTGTTGCCAACTTCCAGGTGGAGCCTGGAGCTCTCATGATATTACAACTGACCTCCAGACTACAGAGATAAATTCCCCTAGAGAAAGTGGCTGCACTGAAGGGTGGCCTTTATGGCATTATACCCTTCTGATGTCCTGACCTCCCCAGGCTCCGCCCCCAAATCTCCAGGGATTTTCCAAACTGGAGCTGTCAACCCTATTTGGGAGAGTCATTAGAGGATCACTATTGGCCTGTAATAAGTTACTTGCCATAACAATCACACTGCTACACACACAAAACAAATAGAAACAAAGAAGCAGCGCCTCTTTTCCTTTACTCATGATACCCAGTGTGGTGTAATGGCCAGTGTGTCAGACTATAATCTGGGAGACCCAACTTCAAATCCCTACTCTGGCATGGAAACTTGCTGGGGGAACTTGAGCCCATCACACATGCAGCCTAACCTATCTCACGGGACTGATGTGTGGATAAAAGGTAGGAGAGGATAATGATGGCAAGCCACTTAGGGTCCACACAGGGGAGAAAGGCAGGTAATGAAGTAAACAAACAAAAAATATTTTATGCTTGTATAGCCCAGGTAACCTGAACATATCCCAGTTTAGCTCAATTCACTAGAATTCAATGATGTCATCGGCTTTATTGTAGAACCCCATTTCTCCCATGTGACAACTGGTAGATGCTTCCATTAAGAAGAACAGGTCTTACATTGTTAACTTGCAGAGGGATATCAGCATGCTCTTCTTGGTCATCTCCATTGCTGGCCTGGGACATGGAGTCTCGGCTAGGAGACCGGGAGACTGAGAAGGACTCCAGCTGGCGTAAATCAAGCATGGATTTAACTGTCATCTCCAGGCTGCTGGTTGGCTGGGACCAACGCCCACGCTGCCGAGGTGCCTTGCTCATAGTAGTCTCTGTACACTGGATTGTTGCAATGTCTTTTGCCTAGAGATATTTTCAAAATAGGAGATTATGTGATCAGAGAAACAGAATCCATTAAAAAGCACTTGCTGCGGAGTGGGGGTAGGATCCGCACAAGAGCTCTTCATTAAATCTTGACCATAAATATTGGGGAATGAGACATAATAACAGAAACCGATTGATGAAATGTTGTCAGCATATCTTAGCATTTTCTACACTCTAATCGTATCTTCAGTAGCATATAGCTCTACTCTCCCAAGCTACTCTTATTATATCTTAAAGATCCTGCTGTTTGTAAAGAAGGGAAGAACTACCTGATTTGTCTCAAGCAGTTTCTTCAAGAGTAGTCCCCCCCCCCACACACACACACACGTCAGCTTCCAAGTAGTTTTTTGTGCTTGGGGATTTGGGGGAGGGGGAACAATCACATGACATCATGCTCTAATCATGCGCTGAAAGTTCATTCCCCATCCTCATTACAGTCATTACCAAACCTGCTTTGCTCCAGTTTTTTAGGGAAGAGCACAGTCCAAGTGTATCATCATGCCATACAGACAAGAAGGTGTGCATGTTTGATGGCCCCACCCACATCAGCACCATACCCTTCAGCACCTTTCCATGCTGTGCCACCAGAGAGTTGGGGGGGGGGGGCTTTTAAAAAGATCTGTAATGTTACACCACTATAGCAGTTGCCATTTTTTAAAAAGCCCTCAAAAAGCCCTGTAGTAGCATGGTGGGGGGAGATGCAGGGGAAATGGCTGCTGATAGAGAAAAATACACAGAAAACTCTCATGTGGAAGCTCTGTTGCCAATGAAGATGCCTCTACATTCACAGAAGTTATGAATGCAAAACAAAAAATTCCTTGCCATCTGGGTACAGTCATGATGGATTCTATCTTGATCAGCTAACCACCAGCTAACATGGGTTGCTTCTGTAAAAACTGGAAAATGCCTTAACAGTGGCATGTTAAAGCAATATAGCCACCCTTGAGTGATATTGTCTTAAAGATCATAATTTTCTTAAAGATTTTCTTAAAGATCATAATTTTGAGTGATATTTTCTTAAAGATCATAACAAGACAGCAAATCACTGCAGTGCAACTTTTAAAAATGCTTATAATCCTGGCAGAAAGTTTATTAAATCAAGGTAGGATGAAAGTAGTCAGTGTTAGACTGTGACTAGTCCTTACTGAGGTGACAAATCCAGATCTGGAGCTGTACCCCTCCCAAGTATGAACTGGGGTTCCAGGACTGAGAGTTCTATATAAACATTCTCCCAGCACATAGAAAAATGTGGAAAGATTCTAGCTCATCTTCTTCCTGACATGTAACAACTAGTTTTCAGTGTTCAAGATTTTCAGTATGGAAGAATATTCAGTTCACAGAGTATGAAGTGGCACAGCCCAGATACAGGCTTACTTACCACCTCAGTGAAGACAAAACTAGACCTGACATGGAATTCCATGCCTTTTACTCATTTACTAAAAGCAGTTTGAACCAGCTATGTTTGCAAGTGAAAGAATGGGTGCAGAAAGGGTTACTTTATTCTTTTGCTTTCCTGCCAGACTAAACAATCAAACTCCTCAACTGGTTTTGGCCCTGGGGGAGGAAAGCCACCATTTTAAGCAGAAATGCACCCTTACACTGCCCTTCAGTCTCATAAATCTTCCACTGAGGTTCACATTCTATGATGACTGCTTTTTATTTATTTGTTTTTTAAAAGCTACTAGGGAGGAGGGTTATGCAATTCTACACTTTGCCTATCTTGGCTCCAAAAACTAGGAGTCTGTATGCTCCAATTATGAACAAGTGTTTCATTAATTTCAAAGAATTAGAGTTATGCTAGCCATCAACTGAGCTAAAAAATCTCAAACAGTGACTGACTGTGTTAATAGAACAAACCAAACCACAAGATACAGAATGGGTAGATAAATTTTAAAAACTCGAGATTAAGGCATGAGGTTTTTCTCAACCCCCCCCCCATAAACTCCCCCCCCACACCACCACTATTATATTGGTGGTATGCCAGAACAGACTACTATTAGAGCA